GACTACTTTTATGCACAATGGAAATAATAGTAATTTTAGCACGCCCTGTATGATATGGAGTCGATTTCTTGGTGTTATTTGAATATATCGAGTTTGTCCAAACTATCATCAGAATATCAACTTTTTATGAATTGAGAGTACTGTTGTACTCAATTTCAATTAAGGCTATGTTTTGGACCATATTTAGCACAATTTATTTTTTATCTCGAAAACAGATAGAGATAGGTATAGGACATTATTAACAGAAAAGTATTAAAATACCAGAGCGATTTCAAAAATGTATCAATATACGGGGTGTTCCATTAAAAAAAATAAAGTTGCTAGGACTTTTTGATGGAAGTGGCAATGCTGAAAATATTTTAGATCGATAGAACAGGTGAGCATATCTCAGACGCGACTGGTGATTTCATCGCTCTAAGGAAACTATTATGTTGCATTCCTAAAAAGTCAACTTTTGTTTCATTTAGCCGTTTTTGTAGGGTCTACCGTTTCCGAGATAGCAATAGTGGTATCAGCTAAAAATACGACCTGCATAATATATATCTTGTAACTGAAGTATTACTTCATACCTTGACTTTCAATAGGAAATAACTATTATTCAGTATATAAATATAGTAATCTATTACAGAAACGATGAGAAAATATCCAGCAGTACCTGTTCTACAAAGAAAATGTGTGAAAGATTACAAAATGAGGGACAGTGAGATTGTGATAGAAAAAGGAACTGCGGTATTGATTCCCATCATAAGTCTACACATGGATCCTGATTATTATCCACAACCTACAAAATTTGATCCAGAAAGGTTTACTCCAGAGATGAAACAGGCTAGAAACCCTTTTCTTCATATTCCATTTGGAGAAGGACCAAGAAATTGTATAGGTTGGTAAAGAACGTAAGAATTGGAACCTGTTACTGTAATGAATTATAAACTGGACTTCATCATGCCACTTGTTGAAGCATTTCAATATAGAACGAGTTGTTTAGTTCAACGTCGAACATACGTTTGAGGTTTGTTGGCGAAATTTCGTTCTGGAGATTTTAGCCTTGAAGATGAGTCTCGAAGTGGTCGACCTACAGTAATCCAGGACGTTGTTTTGGGGACCCTGCTGGTTTTAAACTTATTGGAAAAGTCAAAAAGCTCGAAAAGTGGGTGCCCCACGATTTGAACGATCGACAGAAATTGTCACGTTTGGAGGTCTGTTCTTCTTTGCTTTTGCGCGGATCGTCACGTGTGATGAGACAACAGGAGTCGTTCAGAATAATGGCTGGATACCGATGAGCCATCCAGGCTTCTCAAAGGCAAAACCCCACCAAAAAAGACCATTTCGTCAGCAGCAGCCAGCACTGGTCAACAGAAGAGGTCCGAAACTGCTTCACAACATCGTTTATTCGCACGTTTAACGAATCATCGTTAGAAAATTGAACGAATTGAGACCTTTCGCCAACCGACTACATGCTTTTCAACCAAGTACACAATTTCATTGCTGATGACGTTAATCGACTTGCATTCTCTGAGTTAAATATTACTGGAGTTTTTTCCCAACACTTGGTGATCGAAACATGTGTCGAGGTGTTAAAAATAACGATTTGGTGTTGGGAAAAAACTCCAGTAATATTTATTACTACACCAAAGGTTCCAAACAGTCTTTGTTATCTTCTAATACATTTAAAGCAAATTAATCAGGAACAGTTCATTTATTATATGAATATAAAAGGCGAAGTTCAATTTACATGACGACAAGTCATCATTTAATTGCTCTTCCACTCAACTTCACATTTCAAAGTATTCTCATAAAAACGGACAAAACTTTTGACACAACCAATAGTCATAGCAGTGATGGATGGTGGGATATTGAAATGTTTACGTTTGCAATTCCAGGAGTCAAGTTTGTTTTTCCTAATATCTGTGAGAGGGTTGTGCTTTCTCGCTAGCATTTATGCATATANTTTTGAGAAAGAAAGCTTTCGGCTTTCTACTTCCTCATCTTCATTCAAAAAATACGAATAAGTAGAAAGCCAAAATCTTTCATTCCCAAAAATCTTTCTCTCCAGAAAATATACCCCATTCAATTTTAACTATAAAACATGATTTATTTGAATTCGGTGCTTTGAATCATGAGTAATTATCTAAAATTGCACCGTTATCAATGTTAAATAAAACTGAATATTTTAACATCGATGATTTTGTATTCTGTTTCAGGTCTGCGCTTTGGTATGATGCAGTCGAAAATAGGTTTGATTCAGATTCTCAAGAACTTCAAATTGAGTATCAGTCCAAATACAAACATGCCTTTACAACTAGATCGTGACGCGTTTTTACTGAAATCCGTCGAGACTTTATATTTGAGAGCTGAAAGAATATAGTTGAGATATCACTACTTCGTGCTCTATTGAAATTCAAAATTTCACGTTTTTAATAAAATCTGTATCACATTTTTGGTAAACTTATTTGTTTTGTAATAATACCATAGGTGGAATTCAAACTATCCTCATCCTTATTTTTTTTGTATCAAGATGGAGTAGTAGAAAGCCAAAAACTTTCTTTCCCAAATAATATAGTAATTATGGAAAAAAATTCAGAACTCATTTAGAAGACAATATTTTACCTATTCAACCAATTTGTATTCAAGTAGTGACACTAAATATTGTGACGTTGAATCTAACAAATGAATAAGTTATGTGAGTCAATTCTTTTCATTTTGTGAAATAACAGCTTTGAAATATTTCATGAATGGTACACATAAATTGAATTGAAAGTACCTGAGAAACTATTTTTTTTGTTCAATTTCGACTTTTCATTATATTAGATAAAATAGTAAAATATAAATTTTATCAATTCAAATCACAACATATTGTTTCCAAATATTAGACGCCTTATTCACCGGACTATTATCAGTTCTTATGAGATGGTAAATGTGCCAACCGATGTGCCGGCCAAGACCCAACGCCTAATATAATGGAACAACACAAACAGAGAAAAAATCTTTCTACAAAATAATGTGGATTCTGGTGGAGAGGCTACCCAAGAGTAGAAATTAGCATGCAAACCGTAGAAAATATAGTAAATCTCCTAATTCTGTCACATGATAAAGTAGACTTTAGATGTTACAACGCAGTTTTCCTAAAACGTTTTATCAATTATTGTTAAATACATTATTATTCATAATATTAATTTCTTATCAAATATTACAATATATTCAATAATTATTTTACTCACGTATCTATTTTAAGTGTCAACACTTACCTGCCCATGTAATTATAGAATTNGTGATGGCGTTCCATGTTAAAGCACAATATTTCCAGTTCAATTGCTAAGCAAGAACTGCATAGAATGTACAAACTCGACACTTTCAGATTATTCATTTTAGCCGAAAACCTACAGTTTGTAAAAAACTTGATAAAAGATTAGTTACCATTTTTGCAGGCTTTGTTCAATCCATAGAAATCTACAGGGTGGTCGAGTGTACCAATTTAATCGAAATTAAACGACCTCATGCATTTATTTTTATGATATTTAGTATGTTATAAAAATATCCCTAGACTTTTCCGATGTGTGTATTTCAAAGTACTCTTCTTTATCGTCTTCAACGACATTTGTCTCCAGGTTTTCCATGATTTCGGGGTCACAGGTTCTGTCTTCACTGACATCGCTCTGATATGGTGAAGCATTGAGACAAGCTTGCCTATTACACTGGCCAGAAGCTGAATAGCTCTGCAACCCCGATTTTCTGCATCCACATCGCGAACCACAACCACTCTTGAAGTTGCAGAATATTGTGTTGAACAATTTTTCTGGAGCAGGTGCTAAAATTGTCTTCCCTACGCATTCTCCAACCCCATACCTGGGGTTCCAAATTATGCCCTAACCAAGTTTGAACTTGATAATGAACACGATTGGAATGTTGATGAGCTGTTGCACTTGTTGGTGGAATATTTGGTAACTGCAGAGATTCATTAAGTTTTATAGACTTGACCTATTGTGCATAACGAAGATGATCGATACTGCCCACAGATTCTGGAGCATTATAGACTGCCAACAAGATTTGGATGCTGCTGCAAGTAGAATCAAATTTGGCAGTTTCTCAAATGCTTTAAAAACTTTTCCTTTTTTGAAAAAGCGCAGAAATGAAAATCAATGACAATTTTGTATTTATCAATAATCCATCGTTGTTCACTTCAGCCTAGTTCGAAAAATGATACTCTGAACGAATTCAATTTTCAATTATCGGAAATCATCGACTTCATGTTGATGATAGACACTACCTTGCAAAGACGAGTGGCCAAACAGCCCGCAACTGGTCTGGAAGTGTGTTCCAATGATTGAGAATCTATTGCCAACAGCATATGCAGGAATACCTTCAGTGAAGATTCCTGCACTGACACCTGCCGGATATAATCCAACACCCTTCGTGGTATCAGCCAGGGGAGTGGTTGTTTTCTGATAGGTGTCAGTCCATTGTTCTACAGTGTAGGAAGTTGAGACTGGCCTGAATGAATTGTTCCTTTAGATTATTTGTTATAAACTTCATATGGCGTGTTTTCGGCCGGGACTAGCGGTTGACCTTAAATGACGCCCTAACCATGCGCTCTCCGCCCTCTATTTCGAAGGAGACTCGAAGAAAATTCACCGTTATGGAAAAACTTCTGAAAAGAACAGTTGTAGGGAATTCAATCCTCTATAATTATTGTGATGATGAATACAAACAGCGAAAAACCTTTGGGAAACGAGATATTTGCAAAAAATAGATTTTTCTGACCATTGACCTTAAATTTCAATAGTCGCTTACACCCATATGCAGATTCTGAGACAACTTCCATGATGTCAAAACACGAGTTCATACGAGGTTATAGCTGAGTATCTCAAATGGTGTACGTAATGTATCTCACCTATTTTACTAACATGACTGGGCCATTAGCGTGGATGAGCTAGAGACTGCTCACTCGAAATCGAAGATAGAATAGGCTCCTCAACCTGAGAATATCCCACTGGAAATACTGAAATACTCCTCAGCAAACAAACAGGGCTTTTCATGATGAGCGTTAATTAGCCGTTTCTGGCAAACTATTCAACGGATCAACCTGAAAATTCCACAGTATGCATGAGTCAATATGACCTACACGCCTAAAATATTTTAGACGAAGCGGCGTTGTCGCTTCTACTATAAAGTAGCGGCTTCTTTGATTTTTCAAATGGAACACCCCGTATATAATATCATATTATGATTCATTATCACTTTGTCAACAAATTCATATACTA